TGCGTTCGTCCCACATACATATGCGTCACTGGTCAGAGCGATTGTGATCGATCGGTCAAGTATAATTAGTGATTAGTGAATGAATCACAATCACACTGTGGCATGTGACTAGCGAGTGTAGCCACCATACACAGGTTGCTTCAACTACTCAAACCACGAATGATTTTACAAATGGCAAATGTATTTGTTAATTAGGCATGCGAGAGTGTTCGGATAGCCAAAGCCTGACCCGAAAGGGAGTGCCGGGTCGGAGTGTAAAAAGCGCAATCCATAGGGGTGTCCAGTTCATCGGATCACACGCTCTTTGGACGGGGCCAAACGTCCAAGGTGACGAATACATCTCGATGTCCAATCGAGCCGGTGACCATTGGCACAAACGGGAAGGTGTATGTGTGGTTCATAAGTCTCCTCTTGGTTGGTTAGGAATCAAGGTTTTCGACCAACTCCCCTAGATGAGCTACCAATGGTCCACCAACCCGGCTATAGCCCCGGATGTCGGCTATTCGTCCTCTCGAATTTGGTGAGGGAAAACGCTTCTGCCACGAGAAGGCAATGAGTAAGGCTTCGGCGGCAGAGGCTATTTAAGACGCTTGGTCACGTATGGGAGGATCATTTCACAAGGTGTAAGGGAAAGGAGAGCTGCCGCAACCCAAGAGACCCAACCCCGACCATATTGAGGCTTTGGAGGCTAAAATGAGGTCAGGTCAAGCCGGAACTCTGAATTAGGTGAACAAGTTCGGTGAGTCGCGTGGCTGCGGTCAGACCGACGAATTATTGTTTGCGCAGTCGGATCTCACAGCAATGGTTCGATTGCACGAACATAAAACACCAAATTTGTTTTGCGATAGAATCGATTCAATTTCAAAGAGGAAATTCCTCGTGTATGTGGCAAATGAAGCGTGAACTGAAAACCTGGGAATTACAGCTGGACAGCTGTTTCGACCTGGTTGGATCCCATCTCAGCAGTGCGTGAAACCATCAACCCAACTGGCGGTCGATCCTGGGACCTCACAGGTAGAACGCAAGCATGCTACCCACTCGGCCATCCCGGGTCAGCTGATCAGACCGTTTTTCATTTTCCATTTAGACCATATAGCACAACCTATCTTTGCGAGCTTGTTGCAGGCCACAGACCCATTTGGGTCTATGGATTCGCACTGCTGATAAGACCCAAACAGGTCGAAACAGCTATCCAATGCTTTGTAGCTTTTCAGTTCACGTTTCATTTGCTATATACACGAAGAATTTCTCCTTTGAAATTGAATCAAATCCTCCATTACTCACAAAAATCGATTCAGTCTGTGTGTGTGTGACGAGGAACTAGGACGGTAGTTTGATGCGTGGAACGGTGAACCCCTTCCCACAGAACATTCCAGTCTTAACGGAACAGGTCTTGGCAACCGCCTTAGTCCGAAGTATTGTTTCCAGGGTGGTCCTACAGTGCAAGGGTAGAGGGGGGGGGGCGATAACCGAATTCCATCGTTCGAAAGAATCCAGTGTGTTGTACAGGGCACCGGGAAATTTTGACCGAGCAACTGAGGAGGATCGCTTATTTGTTACGAATTCGCTGCACATCATCGGAATTTATTTTGTTGGCTCCAGACAAAAACGAAACCACAAGTTCACAAGTACTGTGCAAGGTTATTAATAGTTACTCCATTGGTGCACTTAAGTTCTAGCTTTTCGGAGTTCATACCTGGTCGGATCGGCTCGCAAATCTGAACATTCGACGCACATACTAATTGAATCAGTTTATTTATTACTTTACCAAAGACTGTCTGCTTGTATGGTGCCTGTGAGGTTTGATTAAATAAATAAATTAGATAGACAGACAGACAGACACAGACAAACAGATAGAAGATAGATGATAAATAGATAGATTGATAGATTCTTTTTATTAT